ATATAGGTTTTTTATAATATAACATAATTTTTATGTTTCTTGTGTGTGGTGGGGGGGGGGGGGGGGGAATCACTGTGGTGTTGTAGAAACTTTTTTTTTAGGACATTTGAAACATTTCTGGGTTTAAGACCCCCATGTTCCGGACAGAAACTTCATGATACCAGCAACAAATTTTTTTTTTTTTTTTTAACAAGCAGAGACGCAAACTAAAATCTTGTGAGCTTCAGCGCTGTTTGAATGTGCAAAGGTAGCTACTAACAGACAGAGCTGAATTTTAGTGATGCAGCACAGCAAAGTTGAAACTGGAAGATAGAAAATCAGCATTTTAACACAATTTTTTTAAAGATATTTTTCCTAGCAAGTGTGCTCAGTGACTTTTGTCATTCAAGATTAGCAACCAGCACACAGATTCATCCGGCAGTCCCTGAAATCCTCCCCCCCACGATCCCCCCCAGTGTTTGCAGGATGACTAAAAAGCTATGACTGTGCCTCTCCGCTATTGAAGCATTGGATGCCCGAAGTTATTTCCTTTCGGAAAAGTTGTCATTTTGTGTATGGATCTTAAAAAACGGCACACAGTCTACACCTGATAATACACAAGGAAGCAAAAATACAGTCTCAGAACCCAGCAGCTTTTATATAATCCCCAAAACATTGGATTTATACTTCAAAATATCTAAACAAAAAAAAAAGAAAGAAAAAAAAACAATATGACAAATAAAAATGTTTAAATCTACAAGGACAAAAACAGAAAATGAAGCAATGTCACTATACGTCCTTCAATTGGTGCTTGTGAGCCTTGTTTTCACCACCAAATTGATGTTCAAAAGAAGCAATCAGTGGTTTATCACTCCCTGATTATTGAGCAAATAATCATATTTACTAAATTGTCAAACTGTTTCTTTAAAGATATTCAGTTGTTATGTACTTTAAAAATCAACATGTATATACAACCAGTGTACAACTTTAGAGGATTTCAGGTTGCTTTGACTTTAAGCCACCTTCAATGACTGAGATGCACCACAAACCAACGCAGTTCTAAGTCTATGTTTTCTGAATTAAAATGGATGCACACAGCTTTACATGGCCTACTGTACATGTCCAGTTTGGGGAATCAAACTGCAAACACAATAGAAGAAGCTGCTGAAACCACATCGAAGAGAATGTGCCACAACTGCTATTTTTCCGGGTTTGCGACTTGAAATACTGGATTTTGTGTTTGTAAAAAAAAAAAAAAAAGAAGAAAAAAAGTGCTTTACTTGAAGTTCTGTGTGTATACTTGAATTCACACTGGTTTTGTTTTCTATGAGGATATTGTTGCCATGTCTTTGTTCATGCTATCAACAGGGCAGATGTTTGTTTTTAGTATTGCATGTTAGTAAGAATGTACTTCTATGCTGAGCACTTTACAAATAAAGGCACTGGGGCCAAGCTCTGTCGTGGTGTCAAGTCCTTTATCGCTGTTTAAGACCAAGAAACAAACACTGGAGTAAGAACTTTGTAACGAAAACAACAAAATGTATCATAACCTCACGCAACAAGGAGTAACTTTCAACAAGACAGAACATAAAATCACAAGCAACAAACTCTTTTGATATAAAAATCTGATTTTATTATAATTTCATTTACTTACATGAACTAGATTTCTATCGTATTCTGCTGGATGCAACTTCTTGTTTAAATTCACTGAACTTTTTTTTTTTCTCTCCCAAAAATATTCGTTATAATACAAACAACATTCTTCCTTTGTAGTGCCTGCTCAAAGGTGGCAACTGTACAAGAATTTATATCTGTGTATCATAATTTATGGAAGTTCGGCAACTGGTAGTGTAAGCTTTTGAAATAATAAAACAAAAGAGATGGAAGCAAACACATTTTTAACACTTGTAACCTGTAGAAAATATGAATAAATGACTCATTTCTTATTTGCATCATTATTACACCAATTTAAACAAAAAAAAAAAGTTTACCTCGTTAATAAAAGATGCAGAAATCTGTTATGTTCAAATGCCGCATAATATTCGTCCTTTTGGTTTTTAAAGACAAAAACTGAAACCTTCTTATCCATGGAGAACACAGACAAAATGATCCTTTTTGAAACGGACCGTCTTTATTCGTCTCCCAAAGTGCACTCTCATATCTTTCCAGATAATCAAAAAGTACATTAGAAGCACTTAAAGCTAAATGCTAATTAGACATCAAAATATTACTAGCCATTCATTTCCAGCTCTTGTTTAAATTTTCGCCACTTTTAAATTGGACTTAAAGCAGGGCTTAATTAAAGAAAGACCATAACTAACAGGAAGTGGCAGAATGGGGAGGCTGCATTTAATGCCGCACTTAATACTAACAAATTGAAAAGACGAACAGGCGGAGAACTAATTACAGTCTTTGATTTTCACATCCAGAGGAGAACACTCGTCTGCATGCTACGCTGCCGCTGGCTGTTCTTCTTTATTGCTTTCTTACATTTTTAGAGGAAGTCATTATTACTGCCATCATTCATTCATTCTCAGTATGTAAATAAACAAATAAATAATTTCTTCGAGACATTAATTGCAAGCTACTCATCAATGGTACTGTGCTCATTACCCATGACACTAATACTGGTTTGAATGATGGGGATTAGAAGTTACCTTTCAGGTATAAGAGATGAACTTAAGCCCAGTTTTCTGAAAGGGGAACTCCAGGGTTCAGGTTTAGGCCCCATTTCATTTTCCATATTAGTTAATAACATTGGGAAGACGATGTCTACAGCTAAAGTTCACCTTTATGTTGGATTTTTATTTGGATCTACTCCGAGACAAACAGATGGTGAGCTTCAAATTGTCCTCTAGCTGCTACAGGTGTCACTATTTGGCTTAAAGCTAGTTCTTTGTGTAAAGAAAACTTTATGTTTTTGTTTTTTTTTTGTTTTTTTTTTCTGAAACTCATTCACAAATTTAAAATAATGTTGGTACTTCTACCCAAGTGGGGGACCGTGTTAAAAGACGATCTTCCTACAAATATTTGTCTGGATGATAGGGCACATATTCAGCATTCAGCAGTAAACATGTTTTAATGCATCTGTATTTTTTTTTTTTTATTGTGCTTTATTGCTTTTGCACATGTAAAAAGAAAGCCATTATATTATTACTGCCATGAAAATTGAAAATGAAAATTTGGTCAGGCAACATTTAATAAAAGAAGAGATGCTTCCTTTGAACTTTGCTCTTTTGCGCGTCGCTGCGATTTACATTTATATCACATTCACTGATCAGAATGCGTCATTTTGCAACACTTCATAACCTGCTGTGTTTGTCCTTATTAAGGCTAAGGAGAAAATATCACTGATGTGTTTTTATATAAAGGAAGCTATTCTGGCTAATCTCTGTGGGAACGTTTAAAACCCATTTAAAGATTTCTGCAACCAAAAAGTGCAACTGATATTCTTAAAACAGATCTTGTACCTATGCTGTTGTCTCTGAGCAACATATCGGACAAATAAAGCCTCAATAAATGGCAGAAGAAATTCAAACGACTGCCACTAATGAGACATTTAACTTGAATCTATCAGACGTACCCTTCCTTTTTGGTTTGTTAAGGGGATTTGGTGTCATTCTGGTTTAGTGCTCAGCAAAGATGATATTTTTGTTGAACCCCAATCTATCTCCTTGTTAATCCCCAGGAAATTACCATACATATTTGGCTTTGTGCTTTGGAGGTAGAGGTTGCGTATCATCAGATTAATTCAGATCAAAATTAATCCTCTTTATTTCTGTATTTGTTCATGGAACTGTTCCAAACATCTAATCTAATCTAATCTAAATCCCTGCCATCTCTGTTAGAAGTCAGACAGGCTTTAAGCCACTCAGTGCGATATAAGCGAGGCTTTATGCTTCATCATACACCTACTAATAAATATAAAATCAAGTACCTGATGGTTTAAACAATAAATAATTCAGGACGGCGGAACACAAATCTACACTCCTGCAGATCATCCAGTTCTTCATATATTATAATTAGGTACTAAACATGCTTTCTCACATTAATAAACCAGTTCTTTGTTTGCATAGAGAAATTTAAATGATGAAAGATAGTGATTTAAAATGTGAAAATATGATTAAAATATGATTACAACTGTCGCTTCTTGATAGTCTCAGTCGAGTTTCATGTGAACGTGCCTGATTTTTCCTTTGTGTCAGTCGATGTACTGCGACAACCATCTAAAGCCTTCCCCGTAGCCTTGTTTCTTCAAAACGCTGCACATGAAAATCTCCAGCGGGCGAACGTCCTGCTCTTTCACAGAAATGTTTCCCTGTGATCAGAATTAGGATAAACGGATGTGATGATTCAAAGGGTGGAAGACGAGACTCTGGGCACACGCCTACCTTTCCTGTGACCTGACCATCGACACAAAAAGCTCCTCTCAGCGCTCCTTCGCTGATGGCCTCCGGACGGTCGATTTTATTTCCCAGCACCAACACCGGGACGCTGGCTATGGTTTCATCTGAAAGCAGAGCCTAGAGGACCACAACCATCAGCAGCGTGGCTATTAGTTTTAATCCAAAATGACAGAAACATCCTGGAGCCGCCGCGTTTGAACTTACATCAAGCTCAGTCTTTGATTCTGCAAGCCTTTCATGATCAGCGGCGTCGACAAGAAAGACAATGCCATTCACAGCTGGCAGGTAGTTCTTCCAAACTCTGCGAGCTGCAAATGAAGAAGAAATTCCTTTTAATTTGACCATGGTTGCAGCAGTTCAACTCAAGAGTGAAATTGTCTGTCACAAAGAGATTTTATCTTTGAACACTTCTGAAAAAATAATCCTCAGTCTTTAGAGTGGCGCTCTCATGATTGCCACTCTAAAGTGGGCGATCTGAAAAGTATTCATCAAAATAAATAGCTCTTTATGAAAAATATATTTTTATTTAAGCCTTTGTAGTTCCAGCTGTATATTTAGAGTTGCTTTCCTACTGGGAGGTGGACATGATGCAGGAACCGCCATACTCTTACCTCCACACATAGCAGTTAAGCATAATTAGCCAGTTAATCTGGCTAATTATGCCTCACTGTCTGATGTTTTATGATGTAAAGCTCTTTAAACTGCCTTGTTGCTGAAATGTGCTATACTAATAAACTTGACTAAACTGATTGGACACTTGCTGGGATTTAAAATGACTAGTAGTTTTTTTTTTTTTTTCTCAAAAGAAAAATACAAAAAAATGTTTGTTGTTTATTGTAAAGGTCTAATCAAAGCACAAACATTAGCCGACTGTACTGGAGATGCTACTTAATAAAAATAGAGGATTTTAGGGCATGCAGTGACACCAAGTGGTGGCAATAAGTACTGCAAAAACTGTCAAGCCTTTTAAGAAACCTTTTTGAACATGAAAAAAATATTGCTTTGGTTTGTGTAGTGAAAACACTAAGTGAGTAGCTTTCTATACCTGATGAGAAACTGACAGCTACATTTCCACTGACGATCCGGTAAACTTGCTTTTCCTTCAGTAATGCACTTTGACGCTGTCTAACATAATGACGACGAACAGCCAAACATGTCTTTGGGAAATAGAAATCACAATACTGATCTATAATGTCCTGACTGCAGAACGGAATAATGAGAGTTTTGGCTTAGAGCTCACCTTGTACGTGTCCTCCCAAATCAAATGTCGTAAATGTCATCCCACCGATTGTCAGCTCCTCCGAGGCTGTTTGAAGACAATGCAACACATATCAAATTAAAAAGGAAATAAAAGACCATGACTCACATAACGATAGAGAACATGAGAAAAAAAATCCTACAGCCACAGTAAAATTATAAGTTACAAAATAATAAGGTGTTTGTTCTAAGCAAAGATTAAGTTTTTCCTTTTTGGCAAAATATGCAAAGTAGAGAAATGGCCATTATTGGATTTTAAAACAGCAATGAAATATGTCAACTAACTATTCAAATTGCTTCTATTTTGATAACCTATTAATAAAAATACCAATTTATTCAGTGGTATGATGTTCCTCCTTCTTGACAGTGACCACAATTTGTATTTCAAAAAGGAACACTTATGTATGACCGTGTTTAATAATTTTACCATATTAATAGATTATAGACACAAAAGTCCAAACAAGCAAAATAGGAAAAAAAGAAGGATCAGGCCAGCTTTACATGGCACACTGCCTTCACACCATGTGCTTACTTGGGTGAAGTGTTGGTACGTGCTGTCCAAGTCTGTCATCTTTCAACATGTGCAGGAGTGTTGTTTTACCAGCATTATCTAGACCCAAGAATACCAGCTTCCCTGTCTTTCTGTACAAACCTGTAATGGGGCCACAAAAGAAAGATTTGTTATTAACTTTATGCTTCATAAAAGGAACTTATGTTACTGCAGTTTGCGTTGTGCTCACAAATCGATGATGCATAAGAACTGTAAATATATTCGGGCCTAATACCATCTATGTTACAATTTGAGCAAAAAGCTTTGAACAAATATGAGCATCCAGTACCACAATTTATCCTGTTAAACCCACACATTGGATTTATCAGGATTTGATGTGACAGGCATAAAAATGGAAGAAACATTATGGTTTTAAATTTGAAGAACTCAGTGTGGTGTAGATTTGTGTTCAGTCCTGTTTACTCTTATACCCTTAAATAAAATAAACTGCAAAAACCATCATCATAAAATCATCCGATCATTAATGATTACAGAGAAATGGTTTGTTTCTCTGTAATTCAGTTGCTGTGTTCTCAGAAGTTGGATAAAAAGGAAAGGTACTCACCTAAAAACTGTAAAACACTGCTAATCCCTCTGTAGATCCAGTCAAACAAAAACGACATTCTGATGGTGTCTGTATAAATGAGAACACCTTATTTGCACCGCAAGTAATACGTTTTTGGTTCAAAATGCATGACGTTGATCACAGAATACGTCTTGAGGCCTGTATTGATATTAAGAGCTCTATCAAATTGATGCAAACAGTAAAATAACATAGATGTGTTTATCTCAAGGTATGGCTTTGACAAAAAACCACTGTCCACATGTACGTGTAGTGGGAGGTTAACAGCGGCTAATCTCTAACTTGTTAAAATATCAAACGAAATTAATTAACTACAAAGAATAGGTCTTTACATATTCTGTTTGTACTTGAAAAGCTGAATTTATGCAGGTTAGCGTTAACATGGTAGCCTGGTAACGACACACTGACAAATGAGCGAACTACTTGTCAGCATTAGCACAATTCAACACACTAAACGACATAAATAAAATAAACGTACCGTCCTAGAGTACCGAGCCTTATCCCAGTTCTCGGCGGTGTCAGCGGTCTCCTTGGAAACAGTCAATCAGAGAGGCTCCTTTTCTTATTCGTGTTTTAAGAACGGTAACAGGGTTTCCTGCTACATTTGTCACAGCGCCCCCTTTTGTTCAATGGGAAAAAACAAACTCAAAGAGTTCATTTTTAGAATACGTAGTCCTACATAATATGGAAAGTAAATAAATATTTTACTTAGGATGAAGTAGAAATGTTTATTGGGTTATTGGGAAAATTGTACAAGTAAATTATTTAAGTTGTTTTGTGTAATAATATACAATATATAATAAAATACATAAACCATAGATATATGGTTTGTGGTGTATATGTTACAATGTGGATTGTAACATATGATTTATGTTACAATCATAAACCATAAGAACATTTTTTGGAAGTTTAGTTGGCAGAAAACAGAAAGCAGGGAATGACTGTGAAGTGAAAGGAAAGGGATACATTACTCCTGAAACGCTTTCTTCCAGAATTACCCAGCATTTACAACCATCTTCCCATTAACTCTCATGATGTTTCTTATACTCTCTACTGAAGAAAAGAATCCCCACACCATGATTATTTCACCACCATGTTTCATTGTCGAAATTAGGTGTTCATTGTGAAGGGCAGAGTTAGTTATCTGCCGAAAATTTTGTATGTAGATCAGGCAGTTCACTTTTGGCTCATAAAATTTCTACTGGCTTATCCCATCAGTAGAGTCTTGATAGATTTGCAATTGCTGAATAGTAATGGATTGAGCAGTTTCCCCTTAATATCGGGGAAATTGTTTTACAAGCTAACCGTGCTTTAAACTAGTCCACAACTTTCTGTAAACACATTCCACAGGGTCTTCTCCTTTACAGCCACACCATATAACCTTCATATTTAATAGAAATGGAACGACAACAATAAAATAATTTATAAGAACTTCAAAGATGCAACAGCATTATTATAATCTGGCAAAAAAAAAATAAAAAAAAATTGGATAAAGCCTTTGAATGAATAGACGCGTATCTTTTCCAAATATTTCCCATAATTTTATAATTCCATTATAAAGCATTAGATCCATGTTCAGTGAATTAGAACACATCAAGAATGCAATAACCTTACAAAATAAGCATGGTATATAAATAAATACATATACAAAGAGATACTGTTGTTTATTAGGGAATTTGTCATGTCTGTTTCAAGGGCTGTTGTTCACAAAAGAATGAAAGAAGTATGAGGGTGTTTTCACAAGAATATAATTTTACTCAGCTGGCAATAACATTCACAAAACACAGTGGGACAAAGAGGTTGAAAGTTGGTTTAGATTTAATCTTCCAAACTTGATCATGAATTTATGGAGGAAGAAGGATTCTCTTCAAGTTCCTGGTGTGGGTTCAAGTTCTCACTTTTCATAGTAGAACCATTTATCAACTGAAAAAGCAAAAAACATAATCACCATTAGTACAATCTCTGAGAATTTTAAATTGGCGATAACACAGTCTTGTTGCAACCCACCCCACCCCCAAAAAAGAAAAACATCTACCTGAGTTTGGAATGGGTTCTTCAGTTCCAAAAGCACATGCCTGTGAAAGTTATGTTAAAAAAATTTGAATTTTCAACTGAGATTTTTTTAGCATACAGTTTTCTTAAAAAGTATACATACTCGAAAAATCTCAAACTTTTCCATGCTACTCTCCAGTTAAAACCTCTACCACACGCCTCAATCAATTCAAATTAGATTTAGCTCCATCCATCTTCACATCAACTCTCACAAGCTTCTCATTCCATAGTGAAGGAAAAAAAATGATTCCCACAGCATGATGTTGCCACCACCATGTTTTACTGCTGGCATTGGGGTGTGTGTGGTACTGTGCATCATTAGTTTTTTACACGACATAACACTTCATATGCTTAGTGTTGGTCTAGTTTTATCTGACCAGGGCACTGACAACTACTAGGACATTTTCAAGAAGCTGAAAACATCTATGTTTCCTGGATACCTTTAAAGGAACTTCAAATGTTTCATGTCTATTATACAAAGACGGGGAATTGATTTTTTTTATTTCATAAAAGTTTGGAAAGGATTATAAATGCTACATCTGAAAAAAAACGAGGCACTCTTCTACTCCCAAAGCAGTAAAAGGAAAGCTTCTTCAGTCATATTTCTTTTTCTTTGGCGATTTATAATAAGCCTCTGATTTTGCACTCTGACCTATGTGCTGCCTTTTTGTCATCTTTGCTAGGCTTAAGGAAGGAATGATAATAACTCTTTAAGCTGGGACATTGGAAAGTTAGATGAACTTACAGACTTAACAACAGCTTCAGCATCTGCAGCAGAGCAGCAGAAGGGACTGTCAGAAACACTGGTGTTCATGCTGCGTAAACACAGAGGAAAGAATTTTTCACACTGATTTATGATTACAGCATTTTACATATATATCTCTCTGCCTTAGCCTTAATAATGCATTATGAAGGCTGATCTCTTTAATCTATTCATTTCAGACAGGAATAAATAATGATAGTGATAAATAAAAACACAAAAAACTATGCAGAGCCTCAAAATCTAGGGAGATAAATGATGTGCAAACGTTTTTTAACAAATCATATTCTGTACTTCTCACAACGTAAAAAGAAAATAAGTATAGAATAAATTGCTATGTCTATGTAAATTACTAAATCATATCAGACAAAAGCTCAGACTCTTTTATCTTTGTAAATCTTTTGGTCTTTCATGCAAATCTCTTACAGATTTGAATGTAAGGAGGGAAGTATTTAAAAACAAACAAAACAACAACAAAAAAAATCTTTATAAAGTTTGATTTTTTTTTTTTTTTTTTGTCATTTTGTTGCTGAAATCTTCCCATAGGCTCACATCTCTGAGACTGAATTCCTCAACAAGTCCTTACAGGCATATAAATTGAATATCAATTATGCCCGTGAGGTCATGTTCCCCTTTAAAAGCACTAAATCAAATCACTATCAGTATATGTAATAACAGAAAATACATTATTTACTGTTTGCATTAAGGAACACAAATGAAATGACAGTACAAGCATTTACCAGTTTAACTCGCCAGCGTTGCTCTTCTTAGATATCAGTGCTTTCCAAAACTCATGTGTGCTCTTCACAGTTTGTATCGCAAAGTCCTAAAAAACAAGACACTTCTATAAGCCTTACAAGAAATTGACAGCCAAATAGTCAAAAATACAAACATAGCATAACATAGAATTCCATATTACTTGTCTGCGACCTTCAAACAGAGTGAGCCACAAAAAGCTAAGCTGCGTACCCTGTCTTTGAAGTCGCCATTGAAAGCAAACTGATTTTCAGGTTTGCCATCGGGAACCTTGTATCGTCTGAACCAATCAACGGTAGCTTCCAGGTAACCTGGCTTAAGCCGCTTCACGTCATCAATATCTGCAACCCATCAAAAAAAAAAAAAAAAAAAAAAAAGCATAAACATGCAGTATGTAGCATATTCCAGTAAACATCTAAAGCAGGTTACTCCTACTGTTAAAGTCGCCGGCTTCTGGGTCCTCAGTATTGATCACAATGACCTTCCAGTCGGTTTCACCCTCATCGATCAAAGCCAGGGTTCCCAGCACCTTCACTTTGATTACTTCTCCCCGAGAGCACACCTGAAAGTGCCAGTCACATTTCTAAAACAGGCTGCTAACTATTGGATCTATACGAACCTCTCCAGCAGCTTTCACTACCTTGTTTCCAATGTCACAGATGTCAATCGGATCGTTGTCCCCACAGCATCCTGTGTCGCTGTCCTTGTGGCCAGGATCCTCCCATGTCTGATAAAAGAAAGACGCGAGAAATTGAAACAGATTTTCTGTTGTTTAAATACGTGAAGGTAGATAAAGACTTGCCTGTGGAATAGCCCCGTAATTCCAGATATAACCTTTGTGGGGAAACACATTGGCTACATAACGAAGGTTCCCCTTCTTCACATCCTGCTTTAGTGGATTAAGAGGATCCTTTGTGGCTATCTGAAAAATATAAGCACAAAGCGCAAAAAAAAAAAAAAAAAAAAAAAACTTAGAGTAAATGACTGCATTAATTAAAAAAAAATTTAATTACTTTTGTTTTTGTTCCTTCTTTCTGTCTGGCCTGGTGTTTTGCTGTACCTCTTTCCTTGACAGAGTCATGAATGGAGATTATGTTGCCATTGACTTTGTGCATGCAGTTTTTTTCTTTCCCCTTAGTTCAGAGCTTCTGTATTTAGCTATATCTCTCACCTGAATTCAGGTACTTACAGATCTATTCCTGCCATTAATTCTGTGTAATCTTATTTTTCTTTCCCATGGAAGGCATTTCTTGCCTAGTGATTCTTTGTTCAATTGTGTGTCTTTCTTGGTTGATGCTAATAACGTGCATGCTTTTATTATTTACCTTTCTCACAGAGGGCTCTCCTGGATTAGAGCGTTTATATTTAGTATTGTCTAGATGAAGTCATTAGCCATTGTGGACCAGTGCTATTTTATTTTCTGTTTCCTTCATGTCCTCTCTCCCAGTCGCTGGCATTACAGGCATGCTAAGAATTTCTTTTATATTGCATATAGTATTTATAATTTGGATTGAGCTGAACTATATGCAATTGTTTAGCTCAATTGCTCATTTAAATTAGATTAATTTTAACTGAATTGGACAGACTTGGGATAGCAGTTAACTGGAGAAACATAAATAAGTTAACTAAAGTGGAAAAACTATACAAAAATGAAGCAGTATATACCTCCATCTTTGCATTTGTCCATCTTGGAACTTCCACAATGGCATGAAAAATGTTCTGTAAAAGAATATGAGAACAATTTTGTTAACTAGATGAAATCTCTCATTTTAATTGGGACATTTATAATTGTAAATCTACACAACATTTCCTTAAAAAAATGTGCATCTAAAATATATGAAGTTCTACTGGGGTTTATTTGAGCAAAAGTATCACTTGGAAAGTGAAATAAACTGCATATATAAGCAATTTTCAGTTTACAGAAATGTTTTACATGTTATTAAACCCTCTTGAGCTGTTTTGTCTTGTACCTCTTTTCCCTAAAAAACTTGAGTTATTGTCACGATTTTAGTTGACCCTTTAAGTTAGTAAAATACTTGGTGGTTTTAAACCAACACGATACTCACGTCTGCTTCATTTGCATAGATGGGCACGTCATGAAAGGGAGAGATGTATTTGCCGTCTGCGTTTTCTATAAAATGAGCAATAAAAATGTATCTCTTATATCTGTGAGAAACAAAACACAAAGGGATCTTTCCACAGCTCTTAAAGATAAAGCTCAAGTTAAAAACGGGTTTGGTTTGATCTATAGGTTGAAATAGATTAAACCAAAAACGCTAAGCTTACTGAAAAAGACTCTGTAGTCCTGGGTGTTCGGCCTCCCCCTCTCTTCGATGGTAAAGCTCATGTTGGTTTAAATCTCTCCCTCTGTGCTCTGTTCACTTGTTCAGCAAGATTAAGCAGCTTCAGATTCACAGGGACAGGAGAGTGGACATGCGCAATGATTAGTAACACCCACAGCTACCTGCAAGAGGGTTCCTGTATCAAAGGTTCAAAAGCCAAATATCAAAGCTACAATAAGCTGAATTTTTTTTGTATGGTCCTGCTTTTAAACCTCTCATTGTGCAGCACCCATCTAACTGTGAGAGTCAGAGTTGTGAATAATAATGAGGAGTTAATCCTCCTCTACGGCTGACGTGTGCATTCTGAGACATTGCAGCAAAGATTCAAACTTTCTTTGCCAGAAATCTGCTTGCCGTGCATTTCATTCTTTCAAGCTGTGACTCTTAATAACTATTTACAGAAAGACACAGACGGAGCCGACTGGCGTAAGCTATAAACCGATTAGCAAGACAGGAATAGGTGCTGTTACCACGGCGACTTCTTAGCTTTTTAGTTTTAGTGAAACACCTTCATGGGGGACAAAGCAAATCTTTCTTAAAATAAGCACTGTATAATTACTAGTAGTTTTTTTTTTTTTTACCAGGTAAGTCACTTACGCAAAAGGTTTTTCTGCTTAAAATGCATCTAATTTATGACATATGTAAACATTACATGCATACAGTAATATAGACACTATTCTGCTTCTCTGCAATGCAGAGATGTACTTGTTCTTCGGCATTCATTTTGCAATACAGTTTATGAAATTGCTGCTGTCAATGCTTTATTATGGGATATTCCTTTTATAAATTACAAAAATAAATACCAAACAACGATGAAGCGCATTTAGACTTAGCATGTTTAACAGACATCCATGCAGTTGCATTATTTAATAGCATTGACATCAAGCCTGAATCTAGCTTTTTACATTGATAATTGTAAAAAGCCTCTGAATAATTTGCAACAAATTACCAAGCAGCTACTCACTGGACAATTAGAGAAATTAAAGAAAATTACATGCCAAATCTCTAAATTTTAATAAGTAAACTCCAGTAACTTTAAAGTCTCCAAGGCTTTCCTGATGGACAACTAAACCTCTATCCCAGTCCCAAGTAGTTTGCCACATTTAGCAGGTTTTCTCCTGGGATTGTCATGTCTCCTCATTGGCTGGTGCCACGAAAATCATTTGTGCAATCAGAGCGGAAAGGTGACATTCACACATATGAGAAAAAATAACTATTTCAAAAAGTTTTATTTTAGATTAAAAATGTAGCAAATAAGCAAAAACCACGTTTTTACAAATTTAAGAGTTCACCTGTATACCAAGAGCTTGTGGCTTACAAGATGATGGTGTGGTGATGCTTTCGGAATAAGACTCTGCAGGCTGGACTTTGGTTGAAGAGCAAAGTTTTATTACAAACTGCAGCCCAAGTCAGCACCATTGAATCACGATGAATTCTTGGCCCAATCATGGTGAAGTCCCCCCGATTGCTGGACAGCACCCCTTTTATAGGGCCTGGGCCAATACATACTCCCCAAAGTAAACATTATCACATATCTATGTTCCAGATATAGGCATGCTTAGGTCTTGGCGGCAGTGTGTCTGCTAATGCATCTGGAGTTCATAGATTATACTTGTTTTGCAAACTCAATGTCTTTTGTCCTGATTGTTCCTCTTGAACAGTTCCCAAAAAGTCCTCCTGTATGATCAGACACTACACTCTCCAAAAGCAGAGGTTGCAGGGTTGAAAACTCGTCTTTATAGATGTGTCTCTTTTTCTTGTGAAACACAATTCTATCTTAAAACCTTTTTAAAGGGGCAGTATTACCTATTTTCCAGAGACAGAGTGCTAATTTATAGTACAATCAAATAATTATGTTACCTTCAGTTGTTATAATCAAACACGACTTAGAAATTTGACTTTGTAATTTAACACCTTGAAATTGGTCTCTGTCTCTTTAAGAAGCTCCTGCTCTTTCTGCCATCACAACATTCCTCCGTTAAGTCTTTAAGGAGGCTTTTACCAGCATTTCACTGAGAAGTAGCTTGTATGATAAGCTCAGCAGATGCGCAGTTCCAACAAGGATTTGCTAATTTCTGCTGCCACTAGTTTGAAGGAGCTGAGTGGTGGCGCTCTGTGAGGTGGAAGCCAGACTTGGAAACCACTGCTCTGAGGAGGAGATCCATGGAAAAGGAAGTTTGGTGAGACCAAATGTTTCTGCACCCATAATGGCTGCCATGGGAGATGAAACAATTTCTTCAACATGCATGAAAGAATCAAAGTAACATTCCAGTTATGTTTTTGACGGGGGAATAAAATAATGTACAACTCAAAAACGTTGATTTTACATAATACTGCCCCTTTAAGGTTCTCAAATGCATTCAACCTTATTAGTTAAAGGCACACACAAAACAGTCTGTAAGAATATATCTGACATATTCCATTATTCTGTTGTTAATAAAATCTCAAAATTGTAAGGAGATCGGAGAGCAGACTGAGTGCTGGAGCTCAAAGGATTGGACTTTATGTTGAGCCACTTGAGAGCTGGCATGGCAGACAACTTTTCCAAAGGTAATTCTGTTGAGGAAAGTTTTAGAGAGAAAAAAGAATAGGTTTAAAATGAACAATACCGCAAAAGAACAGTCCATTTTTCCTCACAACATGCTTAAGCATGTTATTACCAGTGATGCTGTTTCCCTCAAGGTCAATCCTCTCCAGTGTGGCTATTTCAGTGAGCTTCTCAGGGAAGATGGAAAAGCTGTTATTAGCTAAATTGATGCTGGTCAAATGTTCCACTTCTCCAACCTCATCTGGCAGCTTGGTGAAAATGTTGCCCTGCAGGTCAAGTTCTACGAGGCATTTCAAAATACGAATAAATGGAGAGATGTTGTCTGTATTTCTGTCAAAGTGTAAAAACCTTCAGTGGATATTTGTGGTGCAAACAACGTGAAAACAGCCTCATTTTTGATAAATGACTGAAAGAGCAGAGTGATGTTTGTTTGTCTCTACCTCTGAGCTGGGTAAAAGTTGAAAAGAATTTGCTTGAAATGGCCTTCATTTTATTATCAGCCAATGTGACAATGCGGATGTTTTCTGAGACAGTCCTGAGGACCTTGAACACACCATCTGGGAAGGAAATGAGCTGGCAGTTTGATAGGTCTGCAGTGAAGAAGAACATAAGCATAAGATTATTAAGGACTAAGAGATAAAAAAAAACACTGTATATCTAACAGTAAAGACACTATGCAATCTAAGGAACACTAAGCTCAAGCTTCTGCCTCCATCTACTGGTAAGACTAAAAATAGCTTCAAGAACAAATCTTTATTCACTAACATGTTTTCAAATCGAAAAGTTGAGAAGAATAAAGAAGAGACAGAGAATTCATAAGGTTTACCTTACCCAGACTGTCTTTGCCTTCCTCTACTGTTGCATTAATCCTCCGGGCCACATTTGCGACTGCCTCTGCCATTTTCAATTCAAACTTCAGACAAAAGCAATATCATTATTATTGATGATCATGAAAATGCACACAATGATCAGACCTAAAGAAATATTCTGAGGCTTCTTAAAGTACTCTCTACAATATATCGTACAGTATATTATATTGTACTCAAGTAGAAGAAACCTATATCAAATTTCTTAAGTCACAGATTTATCTGACCACAAGAAGTGAGATCACACACAGTAAACCTCAGTTACCTCATATACAGCAGACAATTTCAGTGCAACCAAGTGTTTGTATTTGTAATAATTCTGAAAATGATTTGTGTGTTATTTTGCTTTTAGGTTTTTAGGCAACAATTCCTGTGATTCTGCACTGCTTGTTCCTTTCAAATAAAAAAACTAACTACTCAACAAACACCGTAAAGTCACCTGAGCAGTGTCGTCATAGTGTTTGCTTCGCACTTCTGGTCATAAAATTTCAACCAGTGACTGCATAATCTCTATGACACACAAAATACAGCACATTCGCCACACTAGAGACTAAATTCTCTTCTTTGTTTAATAATCCAAACACTTTATGTCAACCACAATTCTGCTGTTTTAGATAGACCCTCATTCAATATACTGAAAGAGATTATTTCAGGACTAAAATACAAATAGGAAGCTACTCACTCAATCAACCAGGCAGTATGTGTAACAGAAACTGTCAGCTGTCACTGGTGGCTAACATTAGCTACGGCCGGTTATATTTTTAGCTCAATGGAAGAAGCTAGTTGGCATGAATGAAGGACTGTTTATTATAAAAAACTATTACAACGATCTTAGAGCGTTAGTAATTTTCTCAGTAGGTGATATAAGCAGATAAACGGAAGCTGTTTTAGTTGTGAGCTAAAGCCAGGAGCTAACAGCTAATTAACCAGGATGTTCACGAGAGTCGATATTGCGCTGCACTTTTACGCAACTGCACAAAGTCAAGTCAGTGAAACTTAATTTTTAAATTTGTTTTAATATATTATGAATATTATTCGCGTGTATTTTGTAACCTGTAATTTTGTATTCGCCAAATTTTATTAAATATCATTAATTTCATTTAAACAATAATAATATTAGTATGCAGGCGATATGGGGAAGCTTACTGGGATATAAGCTTCCTCAGTCACAGATGAGAATATCAAAAAGATATTTGGGATTTACAAAACAGATGTTTTTTTTTTTAAAGTTTATTTTAAAGCAGTAGTTGTGTCTTGTTTCTTACATCCCCTCACCACATGTCAATATTTTAGGGTACCATGCTATCCTTAATCTGATAACCTTAATCCGTATACTATATGAAAACTTATATTCATTTTTATTCTTTAAAGTTTAAAAGTTACCAATTTAACTTAAAAAAAATTAACGCTTACTACTGAAAATCACAAATGCAAAACTCTGGATTGTTTTCTTCACATTTTGTGTGATATCAAAAAGCGAAATGTTGACTTACCTCTGAGTCCAGGCCAACTACTGCCAGTTTACCATCATCATCATTCCAGCAAGTTTCCTGTCACTTTGTTTACTTTTCAAAGGATTTGAAAACAATGAGTTCCCTGGCTGTAAAAGAATAGATTTCTAGTTTGGCATCATTACAGCTACTTTACAGGATTGCTGGATACTCCTCTCATGCACACAAATACACAATGGTTCATTTTGCATAGTGCTGGAATGTACTCAGTGTGAGTCAGTGGATGGCTGAAGCTCTCTAAAACTAGAGGCCTCCAGTTTGGAGAGTCAGCTCTTTCTGTGGCTTGCACATTCAGTCCAAATAAAATACTGATATGAGCATGATGTACAGGTGCATCTAAAACACTGAATATCATCATGTTTTAAAGGCTTTCTACAATAAAAGTATTTGTAAGTAAAAAGAAAAGCTGACTTTCAGAAAAAAAGAAAGAAGCATCAAACTCAATTACACAGAAACATTTTATATCATGAGATTGTAAAGATATGCCCAATATTAATAAGCGATACAAAACCTATTCAAAATACAAAATCAACATAAATACATTTTTAATATTTACAATAAATATACATTAATTTATAGTAACAGCAAAGAACAGTACAAGCAGTGCAGGAATATTTAATAATTCAATTTCATATTTACATTACTGATAGGTTGCGAGGTAATAACAAACAACATTTAGAGTATGCATTCGGTACTTCTTAAAAAAACAGTGTCCTCCTTAAAAACTGGCACCCACATCATAAATTTAGGTCACAATTACAAAGATGGATAGGATGCAGTCTTAACAGTGCACAGTCACAAATATTGAAGAGCTTTTTCCACCCCAAAGGCTAAGTGTTTTCTTTTCTGTTTTCCAGGAATCGCTTTGTGTTTTTACAACATGTCTGCCTTCCTGCCACTCTGCAAACCAATTGAGTCCTTGGTTGTGGTGTTCACTGGCAGCCGCACTCATCCACAATCATATCTTCATGGTGTCGAAGGAGCATCTCTCTGTTCTCGTAGTACAGCATGCTCAGCGGGCTCATTTTGGTTGGTGCGCAACACGGTAGCACCACTCGTTCTGGATGGTAATGTTTCAGGAGACTCTAGGGAGTTCAAGTTAAAATTTTGCAGATGATTTTCCATAACCACAATTTCTTCACGTTTTTTTTTTTTTTTTTACACATTTTTGTAAACAATCTATTCAAGATAGATTTTCTCTTTGGCACTTGATCAGAAGCCCAAAACACAATATGCAAAAAATATTCAACCTTTGAACTGTTTACTAGTTTGTCACATTTGCATTTTTGAGCTTTTCTGTACTACTCTATATCATAAAGTCCCAATAAATTTCAATAAATAGTTTTTGGCTTTAACATGGCAAATTGTAAAAAAAAAAAAAAAAAAAGTTACAAAGAAGTTATTCTATGTTCACATCTTCTCAGGTTTACATTTAATGCAACATTTAAGAAAATTGGAACTACTCTCTTTCAATCCATCCACTGTCCCCTTATCCAAGTAAGGTTACAGGGGCCTGTGCCTATCAACAGCTACAATGTGTCAGTGATTAATTGTAATCTCCTTTTCATGAAACCAGGTCAACAAAAGAAGAAATTTACTGTGAATGCACTTCGACTAATAGATTGATTAGCTTTGGGTAAACTGATTAAGTTTATATTGATTTGTGTAGCTCAGCAAGCAAATCCAACCTTTTTAAAATGTCTTAATGCAGAAAACAAACAGTGGTAGATTACACAAAAAAAAAAAAAAACTTGTGGCGCCACTTACCTGCATGTAAGCATGATTTGTTGGATTCAGGCTCTCTCCCAAAGGACTAGGACAGGAACCTTCACATCGGTAGGCATTGTATCTTTTGGGAAAGACGATCCAGGAACCCCAGCCGATTTGATTGAAGTCAATGTGCAGGTCCACTCTGTGGCAGAGGGATTTTTCGGCCCCTCTCATGAACACCTGCGGGCTTCTCGGTGTTTGTTCTCTCTGGCCCCGTTTGCTCCTACGCCTCTTCGGCCAGAGGACCCTTTTGATTTCAGCAGGGGACAAGAACTTGGATTGCTCAGCTGTATGCAACAGACTGGCTTTAGCCCTCGAGCTTTCATCAAACCCCGTGTGGGAGAAGACGACCAGCAAGGCCTGACCACTCATCTCGAAAACAGGCTGAAGAGGGAGACCTCTCTTCTTCCCTAAGGGTTTCTTATGCCTTGATATTCTTTTGCTTCGGCTTTTTGCAGCCGCTTTCTGCCTGAGCCAGCCCAACAGTGGGGTTGTCATGTTGTACACCTTCCAGCTGTGTGACGAAGTGACCAGTGATGATTCATTGAGCTGTCCCACTGGCTTATGATGCAGGTGATACACTTCCACAGAGACGTTGGGAGAATTTTGTGGTGGAGGAAGTCGGATTCTCAGTTCTGCAGCCTGGATGTGCTTGTCGGCCCGTAACACTTGAAGGTCAAAGGTTGCCACCCAACGTCCATGTCTGTAAGTCAGACCTGAAACAAAGTAACAAAGCATAAGTTTTCCAATTGATAACAGGGCAGAATTAGAATAAAAAATCATTTATGTAATATCAGATGTGTCAGTTAGCATCAGCAGGAGATAAAAGGTTGCATTTTTGAAAATGTACAAAATTCAACAAATAAGAAAAAAAACAAACAAACAGAACAACTATGCCGTGTTATAGCTGGCTACTACTAGCTTTAAAAACCAGTGTATTTGATCACATTTTATTAATTCAAACACATTCATCAACATGATTTGTGCATTGCTACTTGTATGGCTGATTTAATGAGACACATTCCATTAAAAGTGCAAATAATTTTTTTTCTTGCCACATTGAAAAAATTCAGCAGCCCTTTTTTTATTTTGAGGTTACGATTGGTGAGAAAACCTTTAAATTTCCCAGCAGGAATTGTTGATGTTTGAAAAACACATGTTGAGGTGTACAAGACAAAACTGCCTTTCTGTGTATTTTCCTAAAGTTTTATTTTTTGAAAATATGTCAAGGAAAGCAAACATAATTTAAATTTAATTTCATTCATTTTTTTGGCTTCAAAAAGAAGACTGGACTGACCATAATAAATCATTTTGAAGCGAATTTAACATATAATACAACATATATTATGCAATTCAAGTAAGAAAAAACATATATTAACATAGTGCAATATACTATATAACAGCCACAATACCAATCAGTTTAAGACTATGCACACTGCACCGATGCACCTTGTTCTGCTATTTATTGCTTTCCTGCCTCCTTCCTATATTTGTTGCTTTTGACTTGAATTGTACTAAGTGGCAATTCAAGTGGGCATTATGTTATTTGTGGAATAAGTTTTAAAATGATTTACCATTGCCTACTTTTTCAACAAAAACAAAATGGCATGTTAAAAGTATAATATTTTGTATTCTAAATCAAAAACTTTGATCCCTTCCTAGAGTTTGTTTCTATTTATCACAGTATTTTACAGTTGTCAGCTAGTTGATTTATAATTAAATTGTAATAAACCGATTTGAATAAATTGAATTTCATTCTGAAATATTTGTCATATAATGTTATGTTACATAATATATACTTTTCAAAAAAGTGTACCCTGCTAATGAGAGTCATTATGATTCAATGAACACCTCTGATTGTAAGATTAAGGCCTTCAAATAAAAAATCCTTAACCTTTGCATTGTTATTTGCACTGTTCTCCATTGATCAAAAATCCAATCCATGCTTGTTATTAATCCACTCAAACCAAACGAGCAGCCCAATCATTTAGCACGTCTGTGCTCGTCCTGTGGCTCCTTGCATATCCTCAGTCAAGCAAATAAAGTAGAGCTGTGAAATTGGATTCAGCAGCTGGGCTTCTGGTGCCACACCATTAAATCCTGAGTTCTAATCTAATCAGGCCAAGTGTGAAAAAAGAACTAAGGGAAGTTGTTGATTTGACCTTAACAAGAGATTTGTATAGGGGGATGTCTGGCGAGGTACCACAAATCAACATCACCTATTTAAAGAAGAAGAAAAAAATAGGTTTGCTTTGAGAATTAAGAAGAAAACCGGTCTTTTCACACGCTTATCCTTGCTTGTTTATTCACCCCCTGAGCGGGAATGTGTATTGAAGCCTCTGAAGTCGTCTGGCAAGAAGAAGAAGAAAGAAAGAAAAAAAAAAAAACCCTAACATCTCAGAGGGTCTTTAAGTGCCACAGGAGGGTAGACAAATTAAATGCATGCAGACATTTTCACCCATTTGTTTATCATAGTATAAATCCCCCAGCTCAAACTGGTCTAATTTAATCTAAACCAGATAAACCAGATCTTACTTTTCGATATCAAGCTCTTCACTGTGTCCGCTCGCTTCGCCGCGTCCTGCTCCAAGTTATCCAAAGGCCCAGAGAAGTTCGACCTGAAATTCCTGTACAGATGCATCATATAGGTTGGCAGGTGGTGTCCCGTGGA